TCTCTTCCGTAGAAGGTTGTTGCTGATAGTGTCTGGCTAACGGATTTGAAGTATTTTGCGTAAACAACTGTTAATAAACACTTGTATCTTGTGGATGATGGCTTTCGAAGTTCTTCATGTTTCCGCACCATACAGTTGAACTGTCTTGAAATTCGTGTTGAAAATTCTGACCTTGGTGTTGGTTGACAATTGTTTTGAGTTCCAGATTTCGTCAGTTGTAAATATGCTGCTCCTGCTTTGTCGATCCGTGCCTTTATATCTCCATCAGATCTTCCGTGTTCATCAACGATGCTGTCCAGATATGTAAAGGTTTTTACATCCTTCAAATAAATAAATGGTGGTGAGACTACAATTTATGGATGACATTTAAGTGACGCTAAAGTGACATTGAGAGTGTTCACCTAGTAACTAGGACCAAATGATGGTTATAAAGCAGTGTAAGGAATTCAGATTACGATTTGCAGTTAATGGTTAAGGTTAGGAATTCGATTTAAGGTTTTTCATCACGAATTGACATAAGCTATAATGCCAAAGCTCTATTTAGCCAAAAGGATTTGTGAATTTCGTGCCAAATTCCGAAACGTGTGATCTTATACCTGATTGTTTTGTTTGAAGTACATATGAAACTCAAAACAACTATCTACCAATATCAAAGTGAGAATCTTCAATAAGAACAAGTCAGTTTGTTCTACTGTACGGAGCCGAAAATTGGAGAACGACTACAACTATCATGAAAATGGTACAAGTATTTATAAATAGTTGTCTACTCAAGATAATCAACATCTATTGGCCCGATACCACCGGCAACGGCCTACTGTGAGCGAGAACAAACCAGCCTCCAACTGAAGAGGAAATTAAGAAAAGATGATGGAAATGGATAGTACATACATTACAGAAATCATCAAAATGCATCTCGAGACAAGTGCTAACTTGAAATCTTGAGAGGAAGCAGAAAACAGAAGACCAAATAACATATTACATCGGAAAACAGGAGCAAATATGAAAAGAACGAATAACAACTGGAAAGATCTGGAAAGGATTGTCCAGAACAGGGTTGAATGAAGAGTGCTGATGGTCGGCCTACGGTCCTCGACACCGAGTAACAGGCGTAAGTAAGTAAGATTGGTTCGTCCAAAATGTCTCGCCTATACAGTTATCTTAGTGGTCATTTGTAATACTGAGTAACGTAATTTATTTTTTGTTATAAGGTGTTATCGAATAGCCACTTCAATAAAAATTATACAGAATATACTGTTAGCTTTAAATAATAATAATAAAACAATGTTTGGGATGTGTTTCTATTATCGTAAATGCCAAATGTTGCTTCAGGATATGTATTACTCTAGAGGTGTGAAGCGGTGAGGGCATTTTTCAGTTACCATCACGTGATGGCCCCCAAATGTCCTGGTACGGCCGAGAGTGTGGAGAGTCCGCTCTCCCTCTCGAAATGCTCTCACATGGCCACGCGTATATAGCCTCTGCCAGGGAAGTCCTACTCATTGCCTTCTCGTGACGGGGGTGTTGTTTACGAAAATGAGAGGACGAAAAGCGAATGTCCGGCGCTTTAACTGGATTCCAAACCAATGGTGCACATGGGCTCCAGTATCCTGCAGGAACAAATGGCGTATGAACCAATTGTTGGTCACCGGCTTCCATGGGACTGCATCTCCTTACGATGTTCCACTGCCCTGTGGATTAGACCTTCAGGTCGAAGGCTCGAGTAGTGGCCCCTAAGAAAACCACCTGCTTCGATTTGGGCACCCGGACAGTATCACAGCCCTCACACATATCAAATGAGGTTTGTGTGGCGCATATGTATTTGGTGCCTCCTTGTACCAATGTCTATGTGTTAAAATAAATAAATAAACCATCACGTGATCATATATGCCCTCAAAGCCCTAATGAGGCATATTATGACCACTGAGAGAGTAATAGTGATATTAGGCGTAGGAAAAGATGGCGAATTGGTTTGTAAGGTTGTGAGTCATCGTCGAATGAAATCAATAGGATGTATGTTACGTGTGCTCAACCACTGCCTACCTGGATGCACAACTTTGTCTGGAACAGGAGTGAGGTGAAACTGAACTGAGAATACTTTAATTAAAGAAAATGGGATTAGTCTTGTAAGTCATTGACTGATGAACTGTGTCACTGTTGGTAGACCCCTATTACCAGATTGGTGTCTGCTCGATAACCGCCATTAGTGATTAGAGATTTTTAGAAATATGGCTCATAATCGACCATATTAGCCCAAATAGTCTCATTCTTTATATTCTTCTAGATATTGAATTTAGATGTTATTTCATATCACTTTTTCCCTAAATTTATCCCTTCTATTTGGATCGAATTTCTTAATTTTTAATCTTTACCACCACCGTTTTCACTATCATCATTTCGATTCTTTGCATTCATCTTGTTATCCATCTGTAGTATGATAACTTGGCCTATCGTATATCTTTGACAGGATTTATGTTGATCCTCACTGACTGATGACTATGACTATCATTGATTGTATATAAATTCAAAATATGTGATTCTTTTTTTACTTGTCATGTTATCACTTTTTACTATAAATGACTGCTGTTTATCATCTCTTCTGAATAGTTCGATGAATTAGATTGATATTATTACAATTACTGATTGATTAGACTGGCTTTCGAGATACCATAATATTATTTTAACTCTCTCTTTTTAAATCTCTAGCCACATATTGACTTCATTAAATAACAAACGAAGAAGTGAATCAATGATTATAACACGTTTAGAACTATGGTGTATTGAATGTCTAAGTTCGCGAGTGTCTCAAATATGTACAGTCATGTATTTGAATGTTACTTACTTACTTACGCCTGTTACTCCTCGTGAAGGAGCATAGATCGCTCACCAGCATTCTCCATCCAACCCTGTCCTGGGCAATCCTTTCTAGCTCTTTCCAGTTGTTATTCATCCTTTTCATATCTGTTTCTATTTCAAGACGTATGGTGTTCTTTGGCCTTCCTCTTTTCCGCTTCCCTTCAAAATTCCAAGTTAGTGCTTGCCTCGTGATGCAGTTTGATGATTTGCATAATATATGTCTCATCCATTTCCATCGTCTTTTCCTAATTTTTTCTTCAGCTGGAAGCTGATTTGTTCTCTCCCACAGAAGGCTATTGCTGATGGTATACGGCCAATGGATGTTGAGTATCTTGCGTAGACAGCTGTTTATAAATACTTGTACTTTCTTGATTGTGGTTGTTGTAGTTCTCCAAGTTTCAGCTCCATACAGTAGAACTGTCTTGACATTCGTATTGGAGATTCTCATGTTGATATTGGTTGAAAGTTGTTTTGAGTCCCATATGTTCTTCAATTGTAGGAATGCGACCCTTGCTTTGCAAATCCTCGTCTTTACGTCTGCATCTGAACCTCTTTGTCCATCGATGATGCATCCCAGGTATGTGAAGGATTCTACATCTTCCAGAGTTTCTCCATCAAGAATGATTGGATTACTGTTCTCCGCTTTGAATTTGGGGACTTTGGTTTTCCTTTTGTGTACACTGAGGCCCACTAATGCAGAGACTGCTGCTACATTGGCTGTCTTCATCTGCATCTGTTCATGTGTACGCGATAGGAGGGCTAGGTCATCTGCGAAGTCCAAATGGTGTAATTGAATCTGAGCTGTCCATTGTATTCCGTGTTTTCCTTCAGATGTCGAGGTCTTCATAATCCAGTCGACCACCGCATTTGAATGTGGGCAGTAGAAAATGGATCGGTATTAGACCATCATTTAAAACGTGGAAACATTGGAAGGCCGTTTCGACCCAGTATGAGACTCTTCAGCAGTGCGCATCTACAATCATGCATGCGGGACTCAAACATAGGATCTTGTGTCTCACGTTCGGACACTTAAACTTTAGACCACTGATTCGGTATCTAATAATATTAATGTCTAACTTCTTTCATCATATTCTGAATGAAACATGTTTATTCTCTGATTATTATAAATAAAACTTAACTTATTATTTTTGATATTAAATAAAACAATCTCTAGGTTTACCGAATTCTGGCAAAAATACATTTTGTAAGCAAATGCGTCTACATTTCGGTGATGGTTTCCCTGTATCATATCGTAATGAAATGAAGCCAACAATACTAGCCAATACCACTGATGCTATTGCTATGGTGTTAGAATATATGAAAGATGCTAATATTAGTTTTTCAGATATTTTGGCTCATGTAAGTGAATCAATATTTGTTTATATATATATATATATTCCTTATTGTTTTTCGTGGGGAAAGAAGGGAAGGCAGTCATTACTATATTGACTAGTCAATCAAGTGTAGGATAACAAGTTTCTATTTGCCTTTTTCAAGTGGAATTCAAAGATTATTATCATCTAGTATCCATGTTAAACAACTGGAAAAGATTCCCCAGGATAGAGTTGGATTAAGAATGCGGGTAGGTGGCCTATGCTCCTCTATGAGGAGTAATAGGCGTAAGTAAGCAAGTAAGTATTCATATTATGTAGAGGTTTGTAGCAGATATTCTTACTTAATTGTTCTATAGGTAAGAAGGTACAATTAGGAGTATCTTGAGTTGATGGTTGTTTCGATTATGGTTGTGGTAGTTCTCAAAATTTCAGCTCCATACAATAGAACTATCTTCACGTTTGCGTAGAAGATTATCACTTTCTTATTGGTCGATAGCCGTTTCGAGTTCCATATATTCTTGAACTATAGGAATACTGCCCTTACTTTGATAATCCTTACCTTTACATCTGCATTAGATCCCCCTTATTCATCGATGATGCTGCCTAGATATGTAATAGATTTCACATTTTCCAAAGGTTCTCCATCATGTGTGACTAAGATGGTGTTCTCCGTGTTGTATCTGAGAATGTTGCTTCTCCCCTTATGCATGGGGGGACTTACTTACTTACTTACTTACGCCTGTTACTCCCAATGGAGCATAGGCCGCTGACCAGCATTCTCCAACCCACTCTGTCCTGGGCCTTCTTTTCTAGTTCCATCCAATTCTTGTTCATTTTTCTCATGTCTATCTCCATTTCTCGGCGTAATGTGTTCTTTGGTCTTCCTCTTTTCCTTTGACCTTCAGGATTCCATGTGAGGGCTTGTCTTGTGACGCAGTTGGGTGCTTTCCTCAGTGTGTGTCCTATCCACTTCCAGCGCTTCTTCCTGATTTCTTCCTCCACTGGGATCTGGTTTGTTCTCTCCCACAGTACGTTGTTGCTAATAGTGTCCGGCCAATGGATCTGAAGTATTTTGCGTAGACAATTGTTGATAAACACCTGTATTTTCTGGATGATGGCTTTCGAAGTTCTCCAGGTTTCTGCCCCATACAGTAGAACTGTCTTGACATTTGTATTGAAAATCCTGACCTTGGTGTTGGTTGACAGTTGCTTTGAGTTCCAGATGTTCCTCAGTTGTAAATATGCTGCTCTTGCTTTGTCGATCCGCGCCCTCACATCTGCATCAGATCCACCCTGTTCATCAATGATGCTGCCCAAATACGTAAAGGTTTTTACATCTTCCAAATCTTCTCCGTCAATTGTGATTGGATTGGTGCATGCTGTGTTGTATCGGAGAATCTTGCTTTTCCCTTTGTGTATATTGAGACCTATTGCTGCTGAGGCTGCTGCCACACTGTTTGTCTTCTCCTGCATCTGTTGTTGCGTTTGGGATAGAAGGGCCAGATCGTCTGCGAAGTCTAGATCATCCAACTGCATCTTAGATGTCCATTGTATCCCGCGCTTTCCTTCAGACGTTGACGTCTTCATGATCCAGTCGATCACCAGGAGAAAGAGAAAGGGTGAGAGTAAGCAACCTTGCCTAACACCGGTCTTCACTTCGAACGACTTTGTCAACTGTCCTCCATGCACGATTTTGCAGTGTAATCCATCATATGAGTTCTGTATGATATTGACTATCTTCTGAGGCACGCCGTAGTGTCGAAGAAGTTTCCATAGTGTTGTTCTGTCCACGCTATCAAATGCCTTTTCGTAGTCAATGAAGTTGATGTAGAGTGATGAATTCCATTCAATTGATTGTTCCACAATGATCCGTAGAGTTGCGATTTGGTCTGTACACGATCTATCCTTACGGAATCCTGCCTGTTGGTCGCGAAGTTGGGCGTCTACACAGTCCTTCATCCTGTTTAACAATACTCTGTTGAAGACTTTTCCCGGTATTGAGAGAAGAGTGATGCCCCTGTAGTTATCACACTTGCTGAGATCGCCTTTCTTTGGTATTTTGATCAGAAGTCCTTCTTTCCAGTCTGTTGGTACTTATTCCTCATCCCAAATCTTATTGAAGAGAATGTGGAGTATCCTTGCAGTTGCCGCTACGTCTGCTTTTAGTGCCTCCGCTGGGATGTTGTCCGGTCCTGCTGCTTTGCCACTCTTGATTTGTCTGATGGCCATGCTGATTTCTTCAATTGTTGGTGGGCTAACATTGATTGGGAGGTCCGTGGGTGCTGCTTCGATGTTGGGTGGGTTCAGTGGGGCTGGTCGATTCAAGAGTTCTTTGAAGTGTTCTACCCACCTGTTTTGTTGCTCTTCAATGTTGGTGATTACCTCGCCTTCCTTGCTTTTCACTGGTCGTTCTGCTTTGCGGCGATTTCCAGAGAGTTTCTTTGTCGTGTCATATAGTTGTCTCATGTTTCCTTCTCTTGCAGCCTTTTCCGCCGTCGTTGCTAAATCTTCCACATATTTACGTTTGTCGGTTCTGATACTCCTCTTCACTTGTTTGTTTACTTCTGTGTATTCAGCTTGTGCCTTGGCTTTTTCTGCTCTTGGTTGACTGGTATTGATTGCTGCCTTCTTGTTCCTTCTTTCTTGAATCTTATCCAGTGTACCAACAGTGATCCATTCCTTGTGGTGGTGCTTCTTGTGACCCAGGACCTCATGACATGTTGAAGTGATTGCCTCTTTGATCCCCTTCCAGTTGCTCTCCACAGTAGTTCCTTCTCCATTGAGTAGATCATGAAAGGCCTGGAACTTGTTGCTGAGGACTATCTTGAATTCGTTGAGTTTATTAGTATCCTGGAGAAAGGCCGTATTGAACTTTTGTGATACTGTCTGCCCCGTTGTCCAGTGCTTCTTGAGTTTCAATTTCATCTTGGCGACCAGCAAGTGATGATCTGATGCTATATCAGCTCCTCTCTTGGTTCTCACGTCCTCTATAGTCCTCCTGAACGTTTTGTTGATGCAAATATGGTCGATTTGGTTTTGTGTAGAGTGATCCGGTGAAGTCCATGTGGTTTTGTGTATGCGTTTATGTGGGAATATGGTGCCGCCTATGACCAGCTTATTGAAGGCACATAGGTTTGCAAATCTCTCACCATTTTCGTTTCTTTCTCCCAGTCCGTGTCGTCCCATGATGTCTTCATATCCAGTGTTGTCCGTTCCAACCTTGGCGTTGAAATCTCCCATCAGAATGGTCAGGTCCTTTGTTGGGCACTTCTCGACTATTGACTGCAGCCTATTGTAGAATTGATCTTTCGCGTCTTCATTGTAGTCGTTGGTAGGTGCATAGCATTGGATGATGTTCATTGAAATGCCCTCTTTCTTTGTTTTAAACGAGGCTTTGATGATCCTTGGTCCATGAGATTCCCATCCTATAAGTGCATTTTGTGCTTGTTTGGACAGCATCAATGCAACTCCTTGTGTATGTGGTGCATTTTCTTCTTCATGGCCGGAGTATAACAGGAGCTCTCCTGTAGTTAGTCGTTGTTGTCCAACTCGTGTCCAATGTGTTTCACTGATCCCAAGTACCTCTAGGTTGTATCTTCTCATTTCTGCAGCAATCTGGAAGGCTCTTCCGGTGTCCCACATTGTACGAACATTCCATGTACCTAAATAAATGGTTGCTCTGGTTGTCAGAAGGGGCATCGGCCTCATAACTTCCGAAGGGATTCGGCTTTCATCATGAGGCGTCATAATTCTTCTAAATGAAGATCTTCTGACTCCCAGGGCAGAGTTTAAAAGGTTTGAATAATTTTTTCTGGTTAGCGTTTTTTTAGCGAGTTAGTTTTCTACGGGATGGGGACGCTAACCCCATGCCCAACCCTCCTCCTTTATCCGGGCTTGGGACCGGCAGTAGCCCCCGGAGGGACTCCAGGCGGAGTTATGCATGGGGGGAAGTAAAGATAAAATTCAGACTAATATAGCAAATCGTTGACGCTTAGTTTCTACGAGATAGAACAATAAATGATCGAAAACAGTCGATAAAGTGTTAAGTGAACCTATCACACTGGTATTTGTTCTTACTATATAAGGCCAGTGAAATGTCAGAGTCCTAGACAAATCATTCGGCTGTTGGGTCACTGAATATCAAACAGATCAAGGTCAAGGACAACCAACGCGCATTAGTTAATCGTATCCTATAGACTGGCCAATACGGTGGCGGTCTCGCTATTTTTCGCTGTACTCATTCTTATCAATACATTTTCATAATAACGTCTTTTGTGTTATACGATCTTCAAAACAGCCATTGATACGTCGAAGGGGTAATCCACGTTAGATGCTGACCGCAATGTTTGAATTTGAAGTTAGCTGGTTCGTCATGCCATTCCCGTGTAATTCTAGTAGACCTCCAATTGTGCGACATAGATTATCTACGTTGTTAATCTACAAGAGTAAAATTTATATCTTTTTAAAAATTATATTTGAAGAAAATTTTGCACTGCTTATTGAATTCAGTACGGTAACTTTTAAAGACCAGGTAGCGTTATACAAATGATTTTAGTGAGTTACTAATATTGATAACTACTATGTTCTCACTAGTGACTAGCTTCGTGAGGGAATTCTCAAAGTTCTAGTGAGAAACCGTAACAAATGGAGTTAATCAGTGTCGGGTAGGGACAGATATCTACCTCAGTACAATAGAAGGTGTTCGCACAACTTCGTGGATTATTTGAAGTTAGATATTAACATCGTTGGATGTCGGCTGGCTCAGTGGTCTAGAGGTTAAGTGTTCGCTTGCGAGACTAAAGGACCTGGGTTTAAATCATAATGGGCGGCATCATGGATGCGCACTACTGAGAAGTCCGATAATAAGACAAAAAGGTCATCCAGTGATTCCGGGTTTTCAATTATAGTCTAACATCAATCAGTTCATGATCTCGATCAATAACTTAATAATCTTTACTGATATCCATCTTATTTCTGATTTACTTCTCTAATAGTCACAGTTGATGTTAACTTAGAATATAAGTATAATCTTCTATTCTTCAATTTCTTTTTAATACTGAATTTAGAAACTTCAAGAATATTTAGTGAATAGTCGATCAGAAAATGGATGGATCACAAAAGATTTTATCATATTCGATGAAAAATATACAACTAATTCTAATCATATTGATTATCATATACTTAAACGTCAAGAATCATCATTTAAATCTAAAGTCAATCATGATGCGGAACATTTCACTTATCCTTATTATGATGATCCTCATGCAAAATATTTTAATCATCATCATCATAATTGTATAACAATTAGTTCTAGTTTACCAAGTTTTACAATGTCAACATCATTAGCTCCTTCATTTAATGAATCTATTCAATCAACTAGTCAACACTATTTAAGTAATACAAATAATCCTTTAAATAAAATTCACGATTTCACTATGGAAACATATAAATCTTGTATACACTCTTCATTCAACACTACTACGACTACGATGACGACGACGACGACGGCGACGACTACTACTTCTACTATGCCCACTAATACTACTACTACGACCACTACTATTATGCCCAATAATACTACTAATACTACTATGAGTAGTAGTAGTACTACTACTACTACTACTACTGACAATAATAATATTGCCAATACTGATAGTATAACCGATTCTATTGTTGAAAAATTTCTATATTATGTTCATGAAAACAATTCAATTCCACCATCGGTATTAAAAAAATTTGAATCGATTATTGGTATTAAATCAATCGATAATTGGCAAAATATTATTGAAAATAAAACGCTATTACATTATTTAATTCATGTCTTATTACAAAGTGGTATTGATAATTGGTCATCATTTTTAATGTATCAATCAACACCACCACCAGCTCCAACAACACTACCTCCAATATCAGTTGAAGATGAATTCTTAGATTATATTGTAACTAGTGATAGTTGTGATACTTCAGAAGAAGGTGATGATGATGATGATGATGGTGATGATAATGAGAGAGATGATATTCAAAGTGGATTGGTCAATTCGTCAAATTGTTCTTTAGCAAGAACTTTAGTTAAAAGTACTTCTGATATTGTAGATATTGATGAATTTATCAACTATGATGAAGATGATGATGATGATGAAGAAGAAGAAGAAAAGAGAAATAATTTGAACGAGGATTGGGATCATTTAGCTGATCTTAAAACAGAAGATGGTCTCTTTTATAAATCCATTAGAAAATTGTCAATCAATACAAAACGTAAAAATAAAAGTGAGTACTATTAGTGATTCAGTAATTTTTTATGTCATTTGGTTGAGCTATTCTTAAATGAAATGAAACTATCAGAAGGGGTTTTGTGGATATTATAATAATTTCAAAGTTGAAACCATGAGTCAATTGAAGCTAGATCACCATGGAAAACCTGAAAGCACTGGAAGGCCATTTCATCCTATTGTGGGACTCCTCGGTAGTGCGCATCGACGATCTCGCCACGCGAGATTCGAACTAAGGATCTATCAGTCTCACGCGCTAACGCTTAACCATTATACCACTGAACCGGCTGGCATCCAGCGGTGTTAATATCTAATCATACAAAACATTAAGGAGGGAGAATATGTTTGTAAGATCTCTACGATTGAATCTTACATTGAATCTTACATTCGACAATCTGGTACAAACCTTTTCAAGGACAAACATCAAAATTATCGATTAACTATATACCAAATAGGTTATTCAATCATGTTAACAATAATGGAAATAAGTATTTACTGTAGTGTATAAGAGATACATGTCACATGTGTGACGAAAAGTGTGTTAAGATAACACATTGTGTGTGTGTGTTGTATGCAAGTGGATCAGAAGAAGTGAGAAGAAATTTCATTTTGATTGATATCATGATTCAATCACTGTTAGACCATTATTGAAAACCTGGAAGTAGTGGATGGCCATTCCGTCCTAATATGGGACTCCCCATATTGATAATTATCATATGCTCACCAGTGAATAGCTTTGTGAGGAAATTCTCGGAGTTCTATTTAGAAGCCGTAACCAATGAAGCTAATCCGTATCGGGTAGAGACAGATATCGACCTCAGTACAATAGAAGATGTTCGCACAATTTCTCGGATTATTTGAAGTTAGACATTAACACTGTTGGATGTCAGTCAGCTCGTGCACGAGACTGAAAGTCCTGATTGCAGGATCGTAGATGTGTACTTTTGAAGAGTCTCATACTAAGACGAACACAATCATCCAGCGCTTCCAGGTTTTCTCAATCCCCTATTGGAATCATATCTTTCATCTATTAATCTATTCATTCTCTTTTCCTCTTTCTTTTTTTTATAGATCTAGATCATAATAGTAGATTAGAAAGTGGTCATCTACCATATCTAAATAGAAATTACATAGAATTAAATAGTAATTTTAATTTATTAGAATTTTCAATTGATCAATTAACGAATATGAATTATTCAGAGCATAAAATTTCATTGAATTCATTACAAATTATAATGAAAATTATTACAGATCAATGTGAATTTCGTAATGCATTTCTACAATATTATCCAATTCTATCACAAAAAACTTATGCTGGTTCATAGTAAGTTATGGAATTGCAAGTTTTTTATTTTCGGTTTCTCTTTTGTTTTCTTTGTGTGTGTTTGTTTGTTTAGTTTTCGTCGATACTAATCAACATATGCTCACTAGTGACTGACTTCAAGAGGTATATCCTGGAGTTCTGGTGAGAGGCAGTGACTAGTAGAGTTCAACCGAGTCTGTTGTGAGAGAGTAACTCATTAAGGACAATGTTGGATGTGTCACTCAATTTCGTGGATTAGTTGAAGACCGGCTCAATGGTCTAGTTGGTCAAGCGCCTGGCGCGCGATTGGGTTCGAATCTCGCGGAGCGGAGTGTTGGATGTGCACTTCTGAGGAGTCCCACAGTAGGACGAAACGGCCATCCAGTGGTCTAGCTTCAACTGAATTATGATCTTAACCAGTGAAATGTATTTATATATTCATCTTGTGACTTTCAGATTAGATATTTTCATTACAAATATATCATGTGTTAGAATAAATCATAATGGCTATTGATGTAAATGTCATATTATTGTTATAATTCAGTGACAGAACATAATATTTATTACTGTCAAGAGAATATCTAATAATGAAACATTCAATAAAGAATACGTCATTGATGAAAGTAATCTATACAATTGGGTATATTCATTCATTCATTCATTCATCATCATCATCCTATTATTATTATTGTTTAAATACAATTTTCTTATAAATGGCGGGGAATGCAAACTATTTCAGTTTTAATTAACTTCTTTCGTTCCAGTTTTGAATATTGTTCTACTGTTGTTGTTGTTGTTGTTGTTGCTGTTAAGACGTAGTAGTGACAGCTAGTATTGAATTGTCAAGGTTACATATATGTATATATTAATACTTATTCTGCTTGAAACAATTGTCCATGGGTTGTTTATTGATTATTTAACATTGTGATCATTTAAAAGGAAAGATAGTTTGTGTATTAGTTACAAACTATAAAGATATTTTGATTTGTGCCTGTTTTTATTGCTAGTGATTTTAACTGCTTACAGAATATATTTCCTTATTTCGAATATAGACTTCTTTTTTTAGTGTACAGAGTTGAGACGTATCAGAATAGTTGGCTTATTAGTTTTGGGTTACAGAGTGTTTGGTTCGTTTTCACACTAGATGAAGTTGTCATTGCTTCAGACAGCTAGTATTGAATTTTTAACGTTACATATATATATCAATACTTGTTCTACTTGAAACAATTGTCCATGAGTTATCTATTGATCATTTAACATAGTGATTATCTATAATGAAAGATAGTTTGTGCTAGTTACCACAAAATATGGGTTATTTTTATTGATTTTTTTCTTGTTCAACACAAAAATGAGTGAAGATTTATATTGAATGATAATGATGAATTCAGAATGGGTTTTGTGGAGATTTTAGAAATTTCACAGATTGAAATCATGAGTCGATTGAAGCTAGACCACCATGAAAAACCTGGAAGCACTGGACGGTCAACTCGTCCTATTGTGGAACTCCTCAGCAGTGCACATCCACGACCCCCCACCACGCGAGATTCGAATCCAGGACCTACTGGCTCCGCGCGCGAGCACTTAACCATTAGACCACTGAGCCGGCATCCAACGGTGTTAATGTCTAACTTCAACCAATCCACGAAGTTGCGCCACCGTACACCATTGTCTTCAGTGAGTTCCTATCTCACAACAGACCTGGTTGAACTCCACTGGTCATTACTTCTCACTAGAACTTCGGGAGTTTTTCCTGAAGTCAGTCACTAATGAGCAGTTGATTATTATCAGAATGGGTTTTGTGGAGATTTTAGAAATTTCACAGATTGAAATCATGAGTCAGTTGAGTCAGTGGATACGCACTGCTGAGGAGTCCCATACCAGGACGAAACGGCCGTCCAGTGCTTCCAGGTTTTCAATGGTGGTCTAGCTTCAACTGACTCATGATTTCAATCTGTGAAATGATTAATTCATTAGATGATTTCAATAGTCAATAGTTTTATTGTTATAATAAGTAGTACAAATTGTCAATGAAAACAAAAATAGAAGTTTTTATATTTCAGTAGAAAAAAAATGTTTTTAAGTCAAATAAACAGTTGAAGTTTATAATGGATGGATGATCTGATGCAATGAATACGTTGTATAAACAATGTAATAGGTTAATTTAGAAAGGGGTCTTATGGAGGTTGTAGTAATTTAATAGTTGAATTCATGAGTTAATGATAGCTAGATCACTATGGACAATCTGGAAACACTCCATGACCGTTTCATCTTATTATGGGACCCTTCAAAAATGCACATCCATGATCCTACTTACGGGATTTGAATCTACGACTTTGAATCTCTCGCGCGAACACTCAACGTCTTGACCACTGAGCTGACATACAATGGTGTTAATGGTTAACTCCAACCAATTCATGAAATGGTGCAAACGTTCAACTATTAAATTACTACAATCTCCATACAACCCCTTTCTGATAATAATCATCATGTGCTCACTAGTAACTGGCTTCAAAAGGTATTTCCTGGGGTTCTAGTAAAAAGCCATAACTAATGGAATTTAACCGGGTCTGTTGTGAGATAGTAACTCACTGATGATAATGGTTGATATGTCACTGAATTTCGTGGATTGGTTGAAGTTAGACATTAAAAACGTTGGATGCCGGCTCAGTGATGTAGAGGTTAAGCGTTTGCGAGAGTAAATTACATGTTTCCTCCTACCCAATTCCTGTGTAAGCCATTCAACCATTAGAAACCTTTTTTTAACACCTAGTTTATTACTTATATTCATCTTCTATGTTTCATTTACCTTTCATATTCATCAATATAATCTATAGCTTTATTAAATGTGTGGATAGAATTATTCAAGATGATTATATACCTACATTACAAGATTTATTGATTATGAAACAATCATCAAAAGCTGTCAGAGAATCCCTTATCACTATTGGATCAATAACATTAAGGTAAATAAAATGATTATAAATTTACCTACTATTTATTGATTAATGTTTATTATTTTATTGATTTGTCATGTGTATGTCAAGTTTAAAGATTATATTACTTGATTACTCACGCCTTTTACTCTCAATAAAGCATAGGCTGTCGACCAGCATTCTTCAACTCACTCTGTCCTAGGACTTCCTTTCCAGTTCTATCCTATTCTTGTTTGTTCTACTCATGTTTATCTCTATTTATCGGCCTAATGTGTTCTTTGAACTTCCTCTTCTCCTTTGACCTTGGACATTGCATGTGATGGCTCACCTTGTGATGCACTTTGTTGCTTTCCTCAGTGTGTGTCCTATCCAGTTCCAGCGCTTCATCTTCTTGATTTATTCCTTCAATGGAATCTGGTTTGTTCTCTTCCACAGTAGATTGTTGCTCATAGTGTGTGGCTAACGGATTCAAAGTATTTTGCGTAGACAATTGTTAATAAACACTTGTATCTTCTGGATGATGGATCTCGTAGTTCTCCAAGTTTCCACCCTGTACAGCAGAACTGTCTTAACATTTGTATTGAAAATCCTGACCCTGGTGTTGGTTGACAGTTGTTTTGATTTCCAGACGTTGTTCAATTGTAAATATGCTGCTCTTGCTTTGTCGATCCGCATTTTCACATCTGCATCAGATCTTCCGTGTTCATCAATGATGTTGCCCAGATTACATTACTATTCTTTTTCATGATGAAATGTCGTTAGCTTGAAAAAAAACTTTATGAGAATTAATCCTAACACATATGCTATATAAGATATTGTATTTTATTTTCAAAACAAATGACTACTCAAATAAGTAGTATAAAGTCACATGTTCAATTAGTAAGTGGAATCCGATGAAATAGATATGATTTCAGAATAGTTGAATAATATCTTCACTTATTATTGGTAATAAAGAAAAAGTGAAATATTTAATGGGTACTATGTATTGAAGATCAGTCAATCTTGCACATGGATATGATCTGGCATAAATGTTTATCAGTGCTAATTGCTATAGACATTATAAAAATACAACAAGAGAATATTTGAAAGTGATATTCATGAAATTTTAAGCAAAGATGTGGTAGAAACTAGCAGTGGAGTTCAAGACACGCACGTCGTCCTATTTAACACTCGTCAGCTGGATGCACCTCCATCCCATAGTTGATGTTCACTCTGGAACTCGAATTCAGTACCGTCAGCTTCAAACTCCATCATGTTATTCACTTAGCTACTGAGTTCTGATAACCAGTTTGAAACCAAATGAATGAACCAATAATAATGAAGTTCAAATTTAAAAGGAATATAAACAATGCATATATATTCTTGTTAGTAAGGTAGATTTCAAACATTTTGTAATGAAATGTTATGAATACCTGGCAAATGCCAATGATGAATTCCCATACAAATCAATCTGATAATCATAAATGCATGAAAGATTATTCTGTCTTCATCATCAATCATGGTATTGAAGACCATTAATATAAATACAATTTGATTGTGTCCAAGAATATACTACTAAGCAATAGGAATAGCTGGATTCTAATAAGACAGAATTATAACAGTAAGCTTTAAGATAGAATTCAGTATTTCAGCCAGCCAGGATTAAAATCATCCTGTGACAACCATAGAGGGATTAGTTTAACTGATATAGTATTTAAAATACTAGCCTCGATAATTATCGGACGCCTAACAAAGACTCGCGAACTGCAAACACGAGAGAATCAAGCTGGCTTCAGACCTGGTCGTGGATGCATCGACCACATATTCACCATTCGTCAGGTTCTAGAACACAGGCATACTTATCGGCGTCCGACAATGGTGGTCTTTCTTGACTTAAAAGTAGCATTTGACTCGGTAGACCGCGAGATTCTGTGGCAGTGTCTGTCATTGAAAGGCGTATCTCAGAAGTACATAAACCTTGTGAAGGCTCTTTACTCGAACACTACTAGTCGAGTCAGAGCTTATGGCGAACTGTCATCTGCTTTTGCAACCTCAAGTGGTGTCCGTCAAGGCTGTCCACTTTCCCCATTTTTGGTTAACTTCATCATAGATCTACTGATGGAAATAACATTCTCGTCGACTGAATTCTCGGGTATTGATCTCCTTCCACGAGGTCCACTTATCGACTTAGAATACACAGACGACATAGTCTTGTTTGGTGAAGACGCTGACAAAATGCAGAGTCTTTTGGTAGCACTAAGCAACAATGCCAGAATGTTTGGAATGCGCTCCTCTCCCTCGAAATGCAAGCTGCTGCTTCAGGACTGGTCTGCCTCAACACCTGAACTAAGGATAGGGAGTGAAGTAGTCGAACGCGTCGACAACTTCACTTATCTTGGAAGTCTGATCAGCCCTAATGGGTTGGTGTCTGACGAAATCTCAGCACGGATTCGAAAATCTCGTTTGGCTTTTGCCAACTTATGTTACCTATGGCGAAGGCGAGATATCCGTCTATCAATAAAAGGACGAGTATACTGCGCGGCAGTCCGTTCTGTTTTAATTTACGGCAGCGAAACATGGCCTTTAAGAGTAGAAGATATTCGCAAGCTACTAGTATTTGACCACAGATGCCTTAGAAATATTGCTGGCGTCTGCTGAGATCACCGGGTAAGTAATAGTGAGGTTAGATGCAGGGTATTAGGGAATGATGGTAAATCAGTTGATGAGTTTGTTAATCTTCATCAACTGAAATGGTTGGGTCACGTGTTACGTATGCCCGGACACCGATTACCACGAACTGCAATGCTAACCGGTGTTCGGGATGGTTGGAAGTTAGGGGCGGCCAAACCAAAACGTGGCATCAGTGCTTGAAGTCACTAACTTCTAGTCTGTGCCATGTTGGTAGATGCAGACTACTTGGTTGGGGTCCGCGTTAGTGTCGTAACCAATTGTTGGAGAATTTCGGTGACATGGCTCAGAATCTATTACAATAGCGTCAGTGTATACTCTCTCTGTCTTCCCTTAAACTAAGAGATTAAAATCGCTTCACATCTTTCTTTCTACAAACTAATTCTTTCTTCCTGTACTATATCCTTATATGCAATCTTTCTTTTATATATTATCACCTCTAAATTAACTACTTTTATGAATCCTGTGTCCATCTTGTTGTTGTGTTATTGAGGTATAGCAACTTGGACCGATGCATGTAAATGTGCGTGCTCCTACGTTGTAGCTGATATGACCAGTATTACATCATGCTTATAATATTTGTCTATTGAAGATTGAAGATACAAATAATTTTAAAATAGATTCATCAAACTGTGAAACTTTATCAACTAAATCGTTTGAGGTATATGTTAAGTTCTTATAATCAATGAATAACTTAAGATGAGATGTGTAGCTGGGATTGGGATGTTTAAAAAACACGACGAGACTATAATTTATAGACGAACCAATAAGATATAAGATAAAAGGTTTAGGATTTTAGCGCGAAATTCATTCACCCACTTAGTTAAATATAGTTTTGACATTATAGTTGATGTTAGTTCATGATGTAAACCCTAAATCTACTTCTTTACCTTAACCATCAACTGCAAATCATAATTCGAATTCCTCACACTGGTTTATAGCGCTCATCTGGTCCTGGTTATTAGGTAGACACTATTAAGGTCATTTCAGTCAATAATGTTATTAACTGTTAAGATGAGCTGTGTTAGAGATCTTCACTTTTCTTTGTTATACATATTTAAGGTGTTTAGATGATACGGGTCAAAATGAATTAACAACTTGTAAAATCATTACTTAATATAACGTTCAGATTAAGGCGATGAAATCATTAAATAACTACAAGATTAACATCAAGTGAATGGTATCTTCCAACATCAATAAGTTATGAATATAATGTAGCTGATATGTAACATTATTGATCGGTTTCGGATATTTCATTTTGATAACTAACTTCATTGTTTGATCGTTGCTATTACCTTGACCTGGTGGTCGGAGTTGCCTGTCGTGATGAACCAATAGAGCTATACTGGCTGGAATAATCATACCTCGACATCCTATCATGCCTGACAGGTCGGTTGAGGAGCGGTAAAACTAAAAGAAGCAAACCCTAGGTTCGAAGGTGAAGTCGTACTGCTGACTGTACAGAGGTGTGACAACAGTAAGGTGCTTCGTTCAGACAACCATCAGAATAACGATGCTACATTTCCACAAAAGAATGGTGGGGTTAGAAAAGGTCAACCCTAAAAATGCATACCTCATTTTATTCCACGAATATCCGTCTCCGATGGTAAGGGCTTAACAAGTACGGAGCTAACACGAAAATTACTCACAAAAAGGTCGTGTGTGACCGACCTCAAACAGTTGTCCCTTGGGCACTGCGGTCACGCTCTCAGGTCACTAAGACCATTTCTAATCGAAGTTTCTTTTCAGGTACCCCAGAAGAACGTTTCCACGGTGTGGGCAATGGGGAAGAGATAACTACCCTCATATTTCTAACAGCACCAACTAACCCATTGAGTTTCTATTCGAATTTATCTGCCATGTGGAAATAATATTTCCGTTATCATAAAGGGGTTTTATGGAGAATGTAGTGATTTAATTGTTGAATTCATGACTCGATTAAAGGTAGACAACCATTAGAAACCTGGAAGCAGTGGACAGCCATTTCGTTTTAGTATGTGAATTCTCAGTAGTGCACATTCACGATCCCACCAGCGGGATTCAAACCCAGGGCCTTCAGTCTCACTGAACCGGCGTCCAATAAAAGAAAAAGAAGTCATTCGGTCATCATCGTTCATTGTTCATTAAATGAGCAATTGATATTCGACAACTAGTAAAAGTCTCATTAAAATGTAGAAGCTCATTCATAAAACATCATTTTCTCACTGTAAAATGCAGTTTGGTAATGAAAAGTATTATATCTAGAGCTCAGATTGTTAATACACCGTGTGTAACTTGAGCAGTTGAACTCTAGAACCCTCCCAAGTCAGAAATAAGAAGATAGATAACAAGTGGAAGGAATGTTATTCCAAAACAGTGTCAATTATAGTACAAAACTGTCAGGTATTTATAGTCCTCCAATCCACATACAGGGGGTTGTTAGCATTTGTCCAATAGGGAAGCTTCATGTAAAGATTCTGGAATATTGTTCCGAAATATGATTGGGTGGAATATCTTCGACTGTTTTTGAGCTCCTTAGAGATTCCTGGAGTTCACCGGTAAACAAAAAAGGAAGGAGGAATTGCTTTTTTTTTAAAAGTAACTTATGTAATATATATACCTTTTATGTATTATTTACTTGTCTAGTTTCTATCTAACCTTATCATCTCTATGTCTGATTGTTTAAAAATGTTTCATCTTTTCGTCTAGAACAATTAATTTAGGTGAACACAGTGAACATTTGAATAAACAATTTCATTATTTTGAATCAGTCAATATGATTTTGTTTTTTATATCACTTGAAGATGTTTATCGATTCACATATGTTCAAGGGAATAAAGTAAGTTAATATTGTTGTCTAAGGTGTCATTACTTGTTGAAAACTGTAAACTATTGGACACTCATCATCAAATTGAAATCATGATTTCTGTCTTGAAATCATTAGTCTGATATAGATAATTTACATATGTGCTGTGGAGTCGAGTCGCGATTGACTATGAACATCACTACAAGAAGACTACGTGCCAGTTAACCGGTAGAATCCCCCGTAAGCCAAATATCAGAGGACAGTTGATGGCTGTAGTCGAGATGTATTTGTTGGCGATCTCGTGGTATCGAACGAATACCGAGATCGTGCCAAAGGAGTACAAGCGTGGTTACCGAGCGTAACCGAACCCGTGCAAGGTCACAATTGAAAGATAATGGAGTAGTAGTATGGCTGTCTTTAGCACAGTTAAACAAACGAGCACAGTAAAATAATCACTGGTACAATTGGTTATAATAATGATTGTTTCCATTAAATCAATTGCGTTCTCTTGATAAAAGTAGGTCAATACACATGTTATGATCTATACAATAATTCTGTATTTGATTACCACAAACTAGTAAGTATTAGCAAAGATTTATAGTGCCTAGCACTTGAATCTAGGATGTGTGTTTCGTCCTATTTAGAATTCGTCAGTTGGATGTATCTTAATCTTCTCATTTAAGTAAACAAAATCAAGTGAATTTAAACCTTATTTCATTGCACAAACTAGTGGCTATCAGGACGCAATAACTAAGTGGATAACGCCATGGTGTTTCAAGCGAGCGGTACTGGATTCGAGTCCCAGAGTAGATATCAACTGTGGGATGCAGGTACATCCGACTGACGAGTCCCAAATAGGACAAGACACACATCCTGGATTCCACTGCTAGCCACTATCCAAACATTGCTTTGATAATGGCTTAGTGAAAACCGACCTGTCGTATGAAGTATATTTACTGTTTGATTGTTGTTAACCTCTTGTAGGAAACCTTGAGCTTAAGTTTCATTCCATATGTGTCTACAACCTTTAGGAAACCGATATTGTCTCATGGGATTCCATTCAGTTATGGTTGGAGTCATGAGAAATGTGTTATTCTGATGGCAAGACATCTCCAGCAACAGAACATGCCTGTACGAGATCCATGACATCTTGTCAATCAGTTCCGTCGGCCCGTATAATATAAAGTACGATATAATATCAATTCACTGGAATTCACTGTAAAATCTCAACCTGATCCAGAATTCTAAGGAATAGTTAGACAACTTGGGGCTGAGTACTATTCAGTGAACGATAAGAAGTTTTAAATACAGACAGAAGAGAACAAGAAATTTGTAGTTTATTCATTAATTATCGAAAGGGAGCCTACTTTATAAGTAAATATTGTAAAACGTATATGTTACTATGATTGAAAAAGTATGAATAATCTGTATTTGATAATATAACTAATCTTTCTTCTACTACTGTAATAAGCATCTTATTTAAAGGACTATGTGTTTGAATACCGTGTCAGTAATCTAGAAGTTAAGCGTTCGCGCGAGAGACCAAAAATCCTCGGTTCGAGTCCCACATACGGGATCGTGGATACATACCGCTGAGGAGTCCCATACTAGGACAAAACGCCCGTCCAATGCTGCCATGTTTTCCATGGTGGTCTAGTTCAAAAATTCAATGAATGAATGTTGATTTATTATAAAAAATCAGATTATACAAGATATTGTATGTATAAGGCAGTTTTTGATAAATTCGGTTTATGGAAAGAAAATAAGACATAGAGTTCAATATAGATGTTTACTGTATCAATTATGATGTCTCTTGCTTAGCATTACAATGAAAACTCTGGTAAACATGTAGAAAATGAAGAATCATGCATCACATTTCTGATTGGATGATTACCTATCCAGTTACTATGTTCAGAAAAGTTCCAGAACTTTCTAACAACCAAAGACCATCTTAAATGATATAAATACCCTTGATTCTCTGTACATAAACCAACTTCCATGTTTCGTGCCTTTTCTTTCGTGCTCAAGTTGCCATGCAGATTTAGCCTAGAGATTACTAAAATAGCTTAGGTAACCGAATCAAATATTTAATCAAAAAATTTCTCATATACCCTGTTTAATTTTATTGATTTTTAAAATCTTTTCTACTGTACATTATGGCGTAATATTTTCTAACATTTAAATGATGCAATTTATATTACTTACTTACTTACACCAGTTAATCCTCGTGAAGGAGTATAGGCCGCTCACCAACATTCTCCATCCAATCCTGTCGTGGGCAATCCTTTCCAGCTCCTTCCAGTTCCTATTGATCCTTTTCATATCTGCTTCTATTTCTCGACGTAATATGTTGTAATTTATATTGATAAACAAATATAATACCATAGATCATAAATACTTATTAATGTATTAAACTTTAATTTGATATACAGAATGATTTAACTTATAATTGAATTTATGGTTTGACTGAAACTGGACCATCATGAAAAACCTGGAAGCACTAGACTGTTATTTCATTCTAGTATGGAACTCCTCAGTAATACGCATCCATGATCCCGTATATAGGACTTGACCCCGGCACCTATCAGTCCAAGTTTATCATGGTGTCAGTATAGGGGTTGTGGAGATTGTTAAGTTATTGATTGAGATCATGAACCAATTGGTGTTAGATTACCATTGAAAACCTGGAAGCACTGGTCGGCTGTTTCGTCCTATTGTGGGACTCCTCGGTAGCGCGCATCCACGATTCCGGTCGCGGGCTTCGAACCCAGGGTCTTCAGTCTCGCGCGTGAACAATTAACCTACCGGACCACTGAGCCGGTATCCAATGATGTTAATGTCTAACCTCAACCAATCCACGAAATTGCTCGACCATCCTCCATTGTACTGAGGTAGATACCTGCTTCTACCTGACACGGATTAGCTCCATCGGTCATGGCTTCATAGTGGTCTAGCTTCAATTATTATTAAATTATTGTTTCTTTATTTATTCTATTAATCCATTATACTGCTGATTTAATTTTAGTTTGTTAATCATCAAACATTTAAACTATTTGAAGATATTGTGAATTCACCAGATTTAACAAAGAAAGATATTTTGGTTTTCTTAAATAAATATGATATATTAAAATCAATAATTTCACAAATCAATAATGATACTACTCAAATTACTATCAATAAGGAAGATGATAAAACAGGTGAGATTTACTTTCTTTCTTCTTTTTTTGAAATATAGAATAGTAACCATGGCATTAATGTAAAATGAGCATTTTTAAATCGATCAAGCTTTTATGAAATAAACGATGATAATGACAATTCATGTAAATGATCAACAATGAATGTTTCTTATAATCCTGAAATATGAATTCTTTGTGATGTAATCATTACTTACTTACTTGTTTACATCTGTTACTCCTCGTGAAGGAGTATAGGCCAAACACCAGCATTTTCCATCCAACCCTGTCCCAAGCAATCCTTTCTAGCTCCTTCCAGTTGTTATTCATTCTTCTCATATCTGCTTCTATTTCCTGATGTAATGTGTTCTTTGGTCTTCCTCTTCTCCGCTTCCATTCACGATTCCAAGTGACGGCTTGCCTCATGATGCAGTTTGATGAGTTGCGTAATGTATGTTATATCCATTTCCATCGTCTTTTCCTAATTTGCTCTTCATCTGGAAGCTGGTTTGTTCTCTCCTAGAGAAGGCTGTTGTTGATGGTATCCGGCCAATAGATGTTAAGTATCTTGTGTAGACAACTATTTATAAATACTTGTACCTTCTTGATGATGGTTGTAGTAGTTCTCCAATTTTCAGTTCCATATAGTAGAACCGTTTTGATTCTGAATTTGATATTGATTGACAGTTGTTTTGAGTTCCATATGTCCTACAGTTGTAGGAATGTGGTCCTTGCTTTGCCAATTCTTAGACTGATAATGCTGATCACGTTAATTATTTCATAACTGATTGTAAACTAATCATTGATCTATTAAGAATATCAGTGGTATATTTTGTAATCAGTCGTTAGTTTGAAATAAACAGCTAAAGATTTAAGTCCTCAACTTCTTGCTCGATAGTTTCAAGTTGACATGTCTGTCATGAAATTAACAAGTTAAGGAATCCACTCTATTGCATATTTGTAGGAAAAAAAATTAGTATTCCCAGTTATGACAAGGAAATTGGTTTTTATTAAATCACAATTTTAACTTGTTTGTAGTGTGTACTACTGATATCGACAGATATAAGTAGTATACATACCATCAACTGAAAGTGAAATACCTAGTAGCAGAAAGTTAATAAGATCAAGCAAAAGAGAACGAGAACAGAGAATGATTAGTATGGAAATGAAGGGATAGTGAAGTTTGAGATGATTGATATATATTTTACAAATGAGATATTTACTATCAGGTTCTCAGACTACTAAGATGTTCTATCATTTTCTCTTGAAATACATCCGATTGTCTGGCAGTTGTATTCTCGTTCATTACAGATTTACTAGATAATATAATTTATAATGGAAATCTAACTGTATCCATTTCAAGTTGATTGTTGTGTTTATATTCATTTAGAAAAGAAAAGAACAGTTCTTCTTTCATACTGTATGACGTTTAATAGTTTGCCTATTTTATAACCATGTTGTTTCACTTGTTCAATTGTAAATAAATTATGAATAACTGAATTTTAAGAAAAAAAAATAGGTGCAAAGTAATTACAATTTTATTTGTTTACTCTCTAGAGAGTAATAAATTATTTCGCAGTGTTTGTTACTATCTACCTCTATATATGTGACTATGTATGTGCATAAGTGTAACTATTCTCCTATCCATGTATGTGTTACTGTTTACATGTTCACAGAAGTATGTAAAATAAAGGGGGGATGTAAATAATTGAAATCATTACTGATTTGTAACTATACAGTGACGTTCAACTCCTCCTCCTCCTCTTTCTACTACTACTACTACTACTACTACTACTACTACTACTACTACTACTACTACTACTACTACTACTACTACTACTACTACTACTACTACTACTACTACTACTACTACTACTACTACTACTACTACTACTACTACTACTACTACTACTACTACTACTACTACTACTACTACTACTACTACTACTACTACTACTACTACTACTACTACTACTACTACTACTACTACTACTACTACTACTACTACTACTACTACTACTACTACTACTACTACTACTACTACTACTACTACTACTACTACTACTACTACTACTACTACTACTACTACTACTACTACTACTACTACTACTACTACTACTACTACTACTACTACTACTACTACTACTACTACTACTACTACTACTACTACTACTACTACTACTACTACTACTACTACTACTACTACTACTACTACTACTACTACTACTACTACTACTACTACTACCAATAATAATAATAATAATATTAATCGCGAGACTATAATTTATGGATGAACCAATCAGATATAAGACAACAGGTCTGGGATTTTGGCACGAAATTTTACGCATTCATTTAGTTAGATAAAGTTTCGACATTATAGATAATGTCAGTTCGTGGTCAAAACAAAATCATAAATCTAATTCCTAGCCCTTAACTGTCAACTATAAATCATAATTCGAATTCTTTACACTAATTTATAACCTTCATCTGATCCTAGTTACTAGGTGAACACTCTCATGGTCACTTGAGCATTGCTTAAAGGTCATTCATCAATTATACTCTCATCATAATAGTCAATAAAATAATATCTTTCAATCGATGGGTAAAAAAAACCCTTTTTTTCTTAGATTTTCCGATGTTTCGTCACTTCATTTAAACGACTTCTTCAGTTTAACTAATCATACAAAAGGAATAATACGTAGTTTTTCTTCATTTCTTTTTCTTTATAGATTGGAATATATTTATTCAAATGATTAAATCTTATTTAATAGAATTACATAATCATGCAACTATGAAAGGTTCTCATTTATATTTTCATATTATCTGTTCATTAGATATAGATAAAATGAAATGGATTATTAAAGATTCTATACGAACTATTTTAGAAATTAATCGTAAACGTCATTTAATATTTTAATATTCCAAAAAAAATAATAATTATTATTATTTCTATAAATAGATTCTCTTTTTTTTGATATTAGAAAGAGGGGTTATTTGTGAGATATTTGTATGAGATGATCTTCAACAGTGCACATACACGATTTCGTGCCACAAGATTCGAATTCAGGATCTGTTGGTCTCATGTGTGAACATTTAATCTCGAGACCATAGAGCCAAAATTCAACAGTGTGTAACGATATGTAACTTCAACTAATGCATAAAATTGAGTGATACATCTATCATTGTCTTTAGTGAGTCACTATCTCACCACAGACTTGGTTGAACTCCACTGGTCACGGCTTATCACTAGAACTTGAAGAAATACCTCTTGAAGTCAGTCACTAATGATCATATGTTGAATAATATCAGAAAGACGAGTTATTTGTGGATCTTATAGTTATGTCAATAGTTGAGATCATGAGTGAATTGAAGTTAGACCATGATGGAAAACTTGAAATTACTGGATAGCTGTTTCATCCTATTGTGGGATTCCTCAGCAGTGTGCATCCATGATCCCGCCTTGCGAGATTCCAGCCCATGACCAATCAGTTACTTCTCGTGGAGGAGTAACAGGCATAAGTATTGTGTTCTATTATATGTTGAATAATTAATATGAATAATTTTCAATATGTACGGAATTAATTATATATATATATATATATATATATAGATGGATAAAAATAAAATAATTAGATTAGTTTATATTGTCAACTCAACTGGATTTTTGTTTTATCCAAGTGATAAGTCTTCATAATTGAATGCTATATTCTAGTTCCTAAGCTCTTCTAGTAACTCCTAGTCTAAACCAACACAACGATTTGAACGTGAGAGGAATGACGCGTAATATAGAAGAAACACTTTACTCCAATGTTTCGTTTATGTACAGAAAATCGAGGGTATTTATTACATATTAAAGGATCTTGAGCTTCTGGTAAATTCGAGGATGCTACTAAATATAGTAACAGTATAGGTAATCATCCAATCAGAAATGCAACATGTGACTTTTCACTTTCAACATGTATCTGATATAACTTCTGTTGAATGCTAAGTGGATAAAATGTATCTCAGTGATTTTAGAGTTTCTTTTTGACTTTTTTTGTCGAGGAATTCTGTGGATCTGCCCAACATAACGAAAGTTTCAGCCTAATCTGTAATTAGATCGCTTTTACAATACATATTTTACAGATATGAACAAAATAATTGTTATTAATCTATGGAAATATGATGAATTCGTTTGGTTTTTGTGTTCCGAGTGACGAGTCCCGAATAGGACGAAACGTGCGTTTCATTGCTAATTGATGTTCATGCATGCGAACATGAAGAGGGCGTCCAATTCCTCCGATGTAGTGTTCTTCGCAGTTGGTACAATTTATTTTGTAGATAATGTTTGGTTTATCTTCTTTTTTCATTTCATCCTTTGATTTGCATAGGATTGATTGTAGTGATTTTGTTGGTTTATGTGTAATACGTATTCCGAAGGGTTTCAGTAGTCTCATTGTAGTTTTTGATACGCCTTCTATGTATGGTTGGGTGATCGTTCTGTTGATTTCTGTACTTCACTTTGTTTCTGATAATACGTACGGCTGATATTTTTCAATGAATTTGATTGAGAAGTGGTTATTTTGAATGAAGTTCTTCAGATATTTTTCTTCATTTTTTCGTTCTGCAAGTGTATTGCAATGCGTCATCACCTCCTTGAACAAAGTATGTACGCAGTTGATTTTGTGAGTTGTTGAGTTGTTTAAGATTAACAATAACCAATCAACATGGAGGTCTACAGAACAAGCTGTGAACCACATATGGAGAAATTCGAACATTTCATTGAAGTTTGTGTTGATGATGTCGTTTAGAAGAATAACGAAAGCTCTACGGCCAAACCATCCAACTCAGAGAAGAAAACTGCATCAATATCGTTCACTTGAGCTAAAAATCTTCTCTGCCATCTCATCATCAGAAATTTCAGTAGCTAAGTTTATATCTCTATTGAACAGATAATGGATACCTCACAAATGTTGATCACTAATAAAAGAAAAAATTGAGTCAGTCAGCAGCAACGTAGAACTTCGTACGTACGTATATCACTTCGAGTTGTCATTACCAAATTAGCACAGATATGCAATTGTCGATTCAAATCTGATAGTGGTAGAGGTAGTAAGATTATAACCAGTAATCGGAAAGATTAGGGTTTGAAGATGTTATTCAAGGAGTATAATCTAGTGAAATCAATTTGGAAGGAATATAAAGGAGATGAAGAATTCAGAAGATTAGAATTTGAGAGAACACAAAGAGTGGATGCACCTGCGCCATTGCAAACGATTTTGAGCCATGTCAATTAAGGTCTTTAACCATCGGTTGCTATCACATCGCAGATCCCCGCAACCAGATAGTCTACACCTACCAACATGGCTCAGTGCACTTGTCAGTGAATTCATGGATTTATGCCATGTTTTGGTCTGGCCGCCCCTAGCTTTCTTCCAACCTACTCCTACACCATAGAACATCAAAGTCGGGGCAGTCGGCGTTTGGGCATACGTAACACATGTTCCAGCCATCTCAACTGATGAAGTTTCACTATTCCATCAATTGATTTGCCATCCTTACCTAGTACCCGTTTCCTATCAACTGCATTACCCACTCGGTGTTCCCAGGACATACGATCAGTGCGTCAAAAGATACCTATGATTGAATACTAGTAACCTACGAATACTGTCTACTCTTACCGGCTATGTTTCACTTCCATGAAGTAGGATGGAACAACGAAAATATGAGAATTAATATAATACCATTATTGACCATTCATTGTTTATTTATTTGTATTTTCTTTTAAACATTAATTACATATGAATGAAAGAAAAATATGGTTTTCAAGTTAACCAAGAAATTCATTTGTCGGTAACATTGATTGTCGATAAAGATCATAATAATAATTGACTGATTTCTGTGGACGTTTAACTAAAACGAATATAATATACATAGATACATTGAATTGGTCAATAATTATAATGTAAAACAATAAAAAAATCATTTCATGATATAGACTGTAAGAGCTATATGTTATGAAATCGATCCAAGTAATGATGGAGAAGATTTGTAACTTAGATGAATGATTTTTGATGAAGTTTGGTTCTTTGTCTGTGAAGTGTTCTATCTGACGTTTGTGCTGCTGATGATGTCGTTCAGAAGAACGATGAAAGCTTCGCGATCAAACCACCCATTTCAAAGAACAAAACTACATCAAAAATGGATTCAAGTAAAGAATTCTGTATAATTGTAAGAGCATTTTTATTTTCGTCCAGTTCATTCAAAGAATTCAACGAATGATATTCAGATGAATATATGTATTTAGATGGTAGTTGGAGGTAGTCAACAGGGAACCCTGGACCCGGGTTTCGTGCTACTTGGCACTCGTCAGCAAGGTGTACCAGTAATCTTGAGGGAACTGGTGCTCCCTGGCGGATTCGATCTCGTGTCACTCAGCTTCACAGTCAGAGACGTTACCACTGAGCTATCCGAGCCGTGACTAGCCTCCTGTAGGACTGAGATGTACTCACAATTGATTGATCACTGTGTGGTGATCAATGTCATGCTTGTCTAGTCCTCCAACTACCATCTAAATATCAATACATAGTGCCCGCAGTGTCGAGTCACCTAGACTGGTGGCCACATTGCAACATGATCGATAGCATTCGATCTGCACTAGTAAGGACTAGAAAAGTATGACATTGATCACCACCCAGTGATCAATCAATTGTGATGAATATATGTCTTAGGATACAAATAAGAAAACTCTATACATTTTTGTTCAGATCTAAGAACTGAAAATTGATATACCGAAAGATGGTAGTTATTAATTTTTAAGTGGTTGAAATGAATTATTCTACATTAGATCATAATAGGTTGAAGAATGTTCATTAGTTCACTTGGTATCGTTTACTTGTATCTCTCCATTGTTGATTAGAACTGCAATAGATGAAGCTTTTATTGGTGTATGTGTATCCTGTGCGTATTGCAGCGATATTCCCTTAATTCATAAGCATTATAAGCAAAGATGCGAGACAGTATTGAGGCAATACGCACAGTATGCACATATGTGAGTAAGAGACTCATCAATTTCAATCCTAAACAACAGTGGGAAGATTCAAGTAAACGATTCCAAGTGAATTTAAACTTCATACCATTGCACAACCAAGTGACTATCAAGACTCAGTAGTTAATTGGATAACGTAATGGCGTTAGAAACGAACGGTACTGGGTTTAAGTCCTAGAGTGAACATCAACTCTGAGATGCAGGTACATCCAGCTGACGAGTTCCAAATAGGACGAAAGGCGAGTCAAACTGGATTCCACTGCTAGCCACTATCCATTTTTGCTTATCATATTTTTTAGTGATACATTAATACTATTAGAAGGTTTTTTTTGAGATTGTAGTAATTTCAACAGTTGAAATCATGAGTCAGTTGAAGCTAAACCACCATGGAAAACCTGGAAGCACTGGACGGCCATTTCGTCCTATTGTGGGACTCCTCAGCAGTGTGCATCCACGACCACGCCTCTCGGGATTCGAACCCAGGACTGTGAGTAGTGAAAAACCTTTTAAATGCAATGTTTAGGATACGTTTGTAAGTTTAAATTTCTAGTAACAGATTACTGGTAATAGAATTACAGTATAACTTAAAGAAGAAATGAAATGAAGTCAGACAGCTGGATTTTCTAATAAACAGAGAAATGTACGGAATGTACCTAATAAAAATATTTCATTTTCAGTCAACTATGCAATTCGATACTGAATTCAAATGTGATAGTGAATGAAGGTAGCATATTATTGGTAATAATAAACACTAGTTTCTAAAGTATTTTGTATGTAATGTAACTGTTGATGAAATGGTCAATGGAAAATGGTTACCTGTCAGTCATTATGTGACCATTCCTTAATCTTTTTTCCGATGGGACCAACAAGTTGGAAATGTACTCCACTTTTCAACTAAATAATTGCCAGAGTTAGCTGCTTTTATTTTACTTGCGTATATGTTCAATTGAACTATGTCATTTCATTTCCTCAATGCACGGTTGATGGTTCTGATATATATAGGTTATAAAACTAACTACTTATAATGTATTTTAGTAGTTAAATAAATTTTTCTCAAAATTACCTGATATTGGGGATCTATCCTTTTTATCAAATCTATGTTCATGTACGCGTTTAAACCATAATTCTCCACTGGGAATGTCTGTCATGTAATCTGAATTAGTTGAATCCATTAGAGGTTCATCTAGTGTTATAAAATAACAGATAAGTAAGAAGGAAGGTACTTTGTAAAAAAAGAAATAAGCAGATCACTATATTTTAGCTCAGTACTTGTCAGATTCATTCTTATATTATATTGGTACTTCTAACTTGACTAAATGAAACTACATGTTGAATGCTTATTCCGTTATTTTTTTAAGATATTTTTTCCTCCTGGAGTCCCTCTGGGGCTACTGCCGGTCCCGAACCCTGACAAAGGAGGAGGGTTGGGCATGGGGTTAGCGGCGCTATTGTGTAGAAAACTAACTCGCTAAAAATCGGTAACCAATTAAGTAATGCACCTTCAATTTCATCATGGTTAGCTTATCAAGACGACAGAATTGTTCTAACACTTTGGAAAGTTAAATTATCTGTTCGTCAAGTACAATTTCACAGGAATTAATGAACAAAGTACAATTTATTCATTTTAAGTATGTTATACCAGAAAAAACATGCATTATTACATCACAAATATTACTCGAACGTATTAACCTCTTCCACTGAATGTATTCAACATTAATAATCAGTTGGTGTTATAACAATAATGTAATGGCCCCCAAATGCCCTGGTACGGTCAAAAGTGGGAAGAGTTACCTCGCCCTCTCGAAGTGCTCTCACATGGCCACGAGCATACAGCCACTGACAGGGAAGTCCTATTCACTACTTTCTCACGGTGAGAGTGTTGTTTACGAAAATCGAATGTCCGACGCTTTAACCAAAGTGGTGGATATAGAGGATCCACCTAGGGGAGTTGGAGAACCCGGGTTCAAAACCAGTGGTGCACATGGACTCCAGGATCCTGAAGAAACGAATGGCATATGAACCTATAGTTGATCACCGGCTACCAAGGGATTACGTATTCTGACGTTGCCCCACTGTCTTGTGGATTAGACATTTAGGTCGAAGGCTTGAACTGTGGCCTCCTAATAGAACTACCTGCTCTAGTTTGAATACCCAGACAGTATCCTAGCACTCACACAAATCGAATGATTTTTGTGGCGCATGTGTATTTGGTTCCCACCTTGTATCAATGTTTATGTGTTAAATTAATAAAATGAAAATAAACCAGTAACGATCTCTTTGAATAAATTTGTCATATAAGAAATTATTTCCAAATTCATCAGTCAGTTAACTTTATCAGCTGACTGAAAACAGTCGATAAGAATCCTTTCTAATCTGTTTAGGTTATGTGCTTGCTAACATTTGTCATTAAAACATGTATACAATTTTGACTGGACAACAATGAAATGGTTGTTAATCATTCGTGCTTTAGTGTAAATACCTAAGTCCCACACAAAGTAAATCGCTATCCAACTATCTCAGGTTTCACTAACTGACATTTAGTCAACTTGAATTAATATACTACGAATCAACAATAACAGTATCTACTATTTAATAAATGGAACAAAGCATATAGGAAAATAGTGTTTTCAATCAGATCCTCATCAGAATTTACTCTAATATAGTGTGATATGTATATGGATATATGAAAATATTAAACCAATCAAGGCAGTTCATGAGTCAGTGATAACGACCAAATAGATCATTTCTTTAATAATAGGACCAGTGTAGCAGCAGCCTTAGCAACAGTAGGTCCTAACATACACAAAGTGAAAAGCAAGATTCTCTGATACAACACATCATGTACCAGTAGAATCATAGTTGACGGAAAAGCTTTAGAGCATGTGAAAACAATTACATATCTGGGCAGCATCATTGATGAACACGGTTGGTCTGATGCAGATGTGAAGGCGCCGATAGGCAAGGCAAGAACAACATATCTACAACTGAAGAACATCTGGAAATCAAAACAACTCCATACAGTTGTGCTGCATGGAGCAGAAACCTCGAGAACTACGAAAGCCATCATCTACAAGATACAATTATTTATTAACAGTTGTCTACGTAAAATACTTCGGATCCGTTTGTTAGACATTATCAGCAAATAGAAAGGCCCAGGACCGAGAGGGTTGGAGAATGGTGGTCAGCGGCCTACGCTCCACTTGGGAGTAACGAGTGAAAGTAAGTAAGTTATAATAGGAAGTAGGTCAATAACTTGGAAAATTAGACACTGAAATAACCATTCATTAAAGATTACTAAAATTACGTCATAAATGTTCAGATAACTTGCTAATACTGATTCGGTCAAAGAATGGATAGGCGTGTTACAAATTTCTAGTATATACTAAGACTTGGCTTGTCAGCTGGAATCCCTATAGTGTTTACCGTATATAAAAGACGAAACCAAACCCGATAAATAGAAGTAGTGGGTATATAATAGATTACTCTAAATAGTTATTACAGGATCACTGTTGGATAAACGTGATGGAACGGACGCAGGTATTGTTCTATTTACACTCTTACATTACCATCAGGTGAGGTGTTCAGCACCTCGTTGGCTCGGTTGTCTAAGTGTATCACCAAAATACCTTTCTCTACAAGAGCAGCTGAGTTCATAGATAAACATGGGTGTGGGATAACCAGATTCAAAACTCAGGAAGAGAGGTATCTTAACAACCAGTGATGTCAATATATTCCTGTTCACTGTACGCATATAGTTCTTGAAAAAACCTTGTGCGTAACTCATTTCATTAAAAATATTCTGAATAAAAACTCCGCCTGTAGCCCTTCTAGGGTCACTGTCAATCCAAATCTCAGTCGAAGGATAAGGGTTGAGCATAGGGTCACCAACCTTATTCCATAGAAAACAATCGTGTTAAAAAACGCTGACCGGAAAAAGTCATTTAAACTCTCCTTAGGGAGTTGAAGAATCTTCATTTAGATGAATTATAACGCCTTATAGTAAAAGTCGAGATTCTTCGAAAGTCATATGGCCGATGTCCCTTCTAACGATCAGAGTAACAATTAATATAGGATACATATTTCAGAAATTATCAAATTGCATAATGAGGCAATCCCTAACTTTGAATTCTGAAGGGAAACGGAAAAGAGGAAGACGAAAAGACACACTGCATAGCAACTAGAAAGGAAAGTCCAGGATAAAGTTTGATAGGTAATCTTGGTAAGTGGCTTACGTTGCACTAGAGATAATAAGCTCACGTAAGTAAATAATCATGAATAAACTCTAGTTCCATGTTTATACTGTCATCTAAACATACTCTTCTGTCCTTATTTTCAAGACATCTTACTAGATTTCTCTTGTAACGAATGTGTAGAAAGGTAAAAAGGTGTGTGTATTGACATTTCATAGAACGCTTTTTGTTATTGATTGAATCATCTCCTTTTCTATTCAAAAAATTGTCGACGATATGTAATTCATTCACTATTCCATCAGTTTATCGATCATATAAATATACATTCATTGTACGAAATGCGCGTCCTGGGTTCCACTGCTAGCCACTATCCATCTTTGCTTATAATGCTTGTAAATTAAGGTAATATCGAGGCAATACGCACAGTATGCACGTATGCCAATAAGTGACTGATCAATTGCAGTCCTAAACATCAATGGGAAGATTCAAGTGAAACAATACCATGTGAATTAAACTTCACCCCATTGCATATGCAAGTGGCTATCACGATTCAGTGGCCAAGTGGGAAGTGCGATGGCGTTTGAGGTGAACGGTAATGGGTACGAGTCCCATGGTCAACATCAACTCTGAGGTGTAGGTACATCCAACTGACGTGTCTTAAATAGGACGAAACGCGCGTATTGGATTCCACTGCGAGCCATCATCCATCTTTACTTATAATGCTTGTAAACTAAGGTAATATCGAGGCAATACGCACAGTATCCACATATACCAATAAGAGACTGATCAATTTCAGTCCAAAAAACATCAATGGGAAGATTCAAATAAAACAATATCAAGTGAATTAAACTTCAACCCATTGCACAAGCAAGTGGCTATCAGGACTCAGTAGCTAAGTGGATAACGCGATGGCGTTTGAAGCGAACGGTACTGAGTTCGAGTCCCAGAGTGAACATCAACTCTGAGATGCAGGTACATCCAGCTGACGAGTCCCAAACAGGACGAAACGCGCGTCCTGGATTCCACTGCTAGCCACTATCCATCTTTGCTTACAATGCTTGTAAATTAAGGCAATATCGAGGCATACGCACAGTATGCACATATGCCAATAAGAGACTGATCAATTTCAGTCCAAAAAACATCAATGGGAAGATTCAAATAAAACAATATCAAGTGAATTAAACTTCAACCCATTGCACAAGCAAGTGGCTATCAGGACTCAGTAGCTAAGTGGATAACGCGATGGCGTTTGAAGCGAACGGTACTGAGTTCGAGTCCCAGAGTGAACATCAACTCTGAGATGCAGGTACATCCAGCTGACGAGTCCCAAACAGGACGAAACGCGCGTCCTGGATTCCACTGCTAGCCACTATCCATCTTTGCTTACAATGCTTGTAAATTAAGGTAATATCGAGGCAATACGCACAGTATCCACATATACCAATAACAGATGGATCAAATGCAGTATTAAACATCAATGGGAAGATTCAAGTGAAACATTACCATGTGAATCATTCATTGTATTGTTTCAAATTAAGATAGTGGAGAAGATTTATAGCTTAGGTGAATGATTTTGATGGAGTTTTGTTCTCTGAGCTAGATAGTTTGGTCATAATGAAAGATGTAAGCTTGACGACCAAACCATCCAGCTCAGGGAACAAAACTTCATCGGAAACTATTTCAAAGTAATTCTTTGATACCAAAAAAGTAACGAACTCATCAAATATAACTCACCATATTCATGTATCATTCGATTACAATTGATCAATACAATAGAAATTACAATAATTACAAATGATGTTAGATAGAATTTTATGCAATTCATATTCTTTAATCTATTTGTAATTCTAATAACAGAAAAAAGAACAAACAAAATGAAAATACATTATGTATGTATATGTTAAAAGTGTTGGCCCAATGGTTAAACGTTCGTGCTCGAGAGACCAAAGGTTCTGGGTTTGAATCACGCGGGCGGGGGTTGTGGATGTGCACTGTTGAGGAGTCCGACAATAGGGCGAAACAATCGTCCATTACTTCCCGATTTTCAATGGTGATCTAATATCATTGTCGATTCATGATGTCAATCATAGAATTGTCAGAGTTTGAGAAACAATTTATGTGCAAGAAGGATATGCTGATCGAAGAAATTAAGTAGTATAAAGTAAAATAGACAAATTATTCTAAGAAATTCATTTATCCTCTTTGTTCATGTGTTTAAAAATAATCCAATTCAATATCTGAATAGGTTATTTCAAAGATATTAATAAATGAATTTAGAAAACTTCACCCCATTGCACAAGCATGACTCGGTAGCTAAGTGGTGATGGTGTTTGAAGTGAACAGTATCAAGTTCGAGTCCTGCGGTAGATATTAACTGTCTGATACAGATACATCTAGCTAACGAGTTCCAAATAGGATGAAAGACGCGTCAAACTGGATCCTATCGCTAGCCACTACTGATCATTGCTTAGTAAGTAGTTATTTTCTATATAGAAATATCGTAAGTACGATCAATTGATGAAAGTAGCTAAATGAATATAGTAAAATAGAAGAGTTTACTTAAGATGTTAATAAGTTACAAAATAGATTCATTCCATTGAATGTTGTGATCATTGAAACTTTTTAACAGAATATCAACTTGAATATTTTTATAGTAGTATAGTATAGTATTGTATAAAATTACTTGTTAAACAGTTTTAGAGTAGAGTCTCTGATTGTTGAGGGCCCAGATATACAATTAAGTGATTCAGTTGTAGTTCCTGGAATTAGACACTATCTTGATGACCAATTTAATCCAAAAAATGGAAATGTTTTAAACAAGTGGAGCCAGATCTTAGAGTAAATGAAAATGGGATAGCTATGTATAGAAATATCTTAAGTATCCTGGGTTCGAATCTCACAAGGCGGGATTGTGGATTTGCACTGCTGAGGTGTCTCATAGTTGGAAGAAACGGCCATTCAGTGCTTTTACGTTCCCTACGGTAGTCTAGCTTCAACTGACTCATGAATTCAACGATTAAAAGTACTGAAATATCCACATTAAACCCCTTCTGATATTCATTTGTAAAATCTCTAATTCATATTAATAAAATGCTCATTAGTAACATGAGCCAGAATAAGAACTTGTGGTATCATTCATCTATTTGTTTAAATGTTACTTTTAGTTGCCTAAACAACAGTACAGGTTAATTATGTATTCACGAATGTTTGTAGACTTTGTAGACTGTTAGTCTGAGAACATTAAGTATTATCTACGTGTATATGAAATAGTTAAACTTGACTAGACTTTAATAGTTCCAAATTCATTGGAATATTACCAATACGAGAAAGTCTTTAAAATAAGATTGGGAAACTCTAATCGATTTCATTTAATTGTAGATATTTAAGTGATTTGAAATAAACAGAGGTTGATATCTTGATGGAGTTTTCTTCTCTGAGTTGATTAGTTTGATCGTGGAGATCTCATCGTTCTTCTGAACGAAATCATCAACACAAACTTCAGGTGAAATGTTCGAATTACTCCATACGTGGTTCACAGCTTATCCTGTAAACCTCAATGTTGATTGGTTATTGTTGATTCTAAACAACTCAACAGCTCACAAAATCAACTGAGTACAAACTTTGTTCAAGGAGGCGAGGACACATTGCAACACACTTGCAGAACGAAAAACTGAAGAAAGATACTTGAAGACCATCCTACAAAAGAACCACTACTTAATCAACTTCATCAAAAAAATACCAGCCATACGCATCATCAGAAGCGAAGTCAAGTACAGAAATCAACAGAACGATCACCCAACCATACATAAAAGGCGTATCAAAAACTACAACGAGACTACTGAAACCCTTCGGAATACGTATTGCAAATAAACCAGCAAAATCACTACAGTCAATTCTATGCAAATCAAAGGATGAAATGATAAAAGAAGATAAACCAAACATTATCTACAAAATAAATTGTGCCAGTTGCGAAAAACACTATATCGGACAATGTGGACGCCCTCTTCATTTTCGCCTGCATGAACATCCATTAGCAGTGAATCGCCATGATATGTCCTCACTTATATCAACGCACGTGGACAGCTGTGCACACACAATCGACTGGAAAAATGTGTAAATTGTAGATAGAGGCAATTCGAAAAACACCAGAGAATTTTTAAAAGCTTGGCACTCAGGTCAATCAACAATCGATGATCACATTGAAATCGATCCAATGTATCAACCAATCAGGAAGATTATGGATAAATATAGGAAGAGAAATCAAACCGATGGGCGATACAACCAAATGGAAGAAGTAAACAATGACAGGTATAATGTTAACAAGAACCAATCAACATGGAGGTGTACAGGACAAGTTGTGAACTATATGTGGAGAAATTCGAACACTTCACTTCTACCTGACGTTTATGGTGATGATGTCGTTGAGAAGAAGGACGATGAAATCTCTACGACCAAACTATTCAACTCAGAGAACAAAACTCTATCAAAATCATCCACTTGATCTAAAAATCTTCACTTTCTCTGAGGTTGATATCATCATACTTTATCTTTCTGATTTGATAATTAGAGATTATTTTCAACAGTAAAAAGAAACGTTATGCAATGATTGTAGTAATTGTAATAGTTGAATTCATGAGTCAATTAAAGTAAGACCACATTGGATGGTTGTTTCATCTTATTATGGAACTTTTCATCAATGTACATCCACGATATGCTTCAAACGTAAAAATAACTATCATTATTCAATCGATCATATCTGATGTTTCTGCTGATGATATCATTCAGAAAACTGATGAAAACTCCACAACTAACTGACCATTCAATTGAGAGAACAGAACTTCATCATAATCAACTTTGAATGCTTAGTTCTAGTTTTAAGATATCTTGTTTATTCTTGGAACATCATTAATATTAGTATATCTATATACCAAAACTATTGTCTACATTCATAGTCGGTTATGTCGGCAATATTCATTAAAAAGTCAATGTTTATTATTATGTCATAGATTTTCTGCACCATTTCATCATTAGTAATTCAATCAACCACAACCAAGTGTAGTCAGTAGTATATATATATATATATATATATACATAGACAAGGATAGGTAGTATACGTATCCATCTGTCGGTTTTTTAAATCATAAATAATTAATTACTACTTTAAAGTTCAACTTCTTAATTCTTAATAAGAAAGAAAGAAAGAAAGAACGAAAGAAAGAACGAAAGAAAGAAAGAAAGAAAGAAAGAACGAAAGAAAGAACGAAAGAAAGAAATGGATAAGACATTGAAAGAACAGTTTTTTTTCTTTCTTTTCTGTAACAATATCATTCATTGAAGCCATTATGACTTTTCACTTTTACTTATGTCTGTTACTTCTCATGAAGGGGTATACGCTGTCAACCAGTACTCTCCATCCAACCCTGTCTTGGGTAATCCTTTCCAGCTCTTTCCAGTTGTTATTCATCCTTTTCATATCTGCTTCCAATTGCTGATGTAATGTGTTCTTTGAGCTTCCGCTTTTCCGCTTCACTTCAGGATTCTAAGTTAGTGCCTGTCTCGTGATGTAGTTTATTGATTTCCGTAATGTATGTCTTATCCATTTCCATCGTTATTTTCTTAATTTCTTCTTCAGCTGGAAGTTGATTTGTTCTCTGCTAAAGTAGGCTGTTGCTTTTTTTCTGTAACAATATCATTCATTAAAGCTATACAATCCTATTTTTGTTATCAGAAGGGGGTTTTGTGAAGATTTTTAGTAACTTTAATAGTTGAATTCATGAGTTAATTGAAGTTAGACCATCATAAAATCTTCACAAAACCCTCTTTTGATAATAATCATCATCATGTGCTCACTAGTGACTTACTTCATGAGTTATTTCTTCGAGTTCTAGTGAGAAACAGTGATCGGCGAATTTCAACCAGGTCTGTTGTGAGATAGTAACATATTGAAGACAATGGTGGATGTGTCGCTCAATTTCGTGGATTAGTTGAAGTTAGACATTAACACGGTTGCATGTTGATTTGCAGGGTCAGCGATGAGAACATGTTACTTTTGTGGTGAGAAAGGATAGAGTTTAATTTGTATGTAAGATAATAGTGTGAAATGTGAATTATATCAGACATGGTAGCTTGAATAAATAGTCCAAGACAGATGGATAGTAAGATCTTCTTTTCCATTGAGAGCAGTAAGATTAAGCATTATATGGAACAATTCAGCTACTCTTCTTTCTTTGTAATTGAAAAAGCAGGTTTGTAATATTTTGATGCTTTTGTTATTAATTTGGTGGTTGTTGAAAATGGCATGAACTGCTATCGCCTATTTACCTGGAAGTCTATCCAGTTCTACGGGATTATTAGGTAGTTTCTTTGTATATCTGATTTCTTTTAACTGAGCAATCTAAAATGATACCTCACCATGTTCATTTTCATTGTCATTCGTAAATTTGATATGAGATGAAAGTGTATTGATCTTAGATGAATCTTTCTTATCAAAATAACGGTATCATCTATATATCTAAACCAAATTCTTAGTTTAATGTCATTGGTGTAAATATGTATGCCATAAACAGGTTAATCCTTTCAGAAATCTCACTCAAAAACTGGAGGCATTGGATGGCCGTTTTGTCCTAGCATGGGTCTCCTCAGCAGTGCATATAAACGATCTGCAACACATCATTCCAACCAAGGATCTTTGGTCTCGCTCGCGAACTCTTAATCTCTACACCACTGGATCAGCATTCGACAGTGGTAATGTTTAACTTCAACCAACCCACGTTATTGTGTGACCGTTCACGATTGTCTTCAGTGAGTAACTGCTTCACAACAGACACGGTTAGACTTCACTGGTCAC